GGAAAAAGTGATGGGATCTGAATTTGACCAAATTTATCCTCTTCCTGTGGGCAGAATGACTCTTCTGGCTTCAGTGGAATTATTCCAAGTTATGCTGAGCAAGAGCAGAATCAGACTCTGAAATTTTAAAGATAAACTTTTTCCTTTAAAATCCTATTTTGAATTGCTAAAACTAACCATGCAAGCAAAAGCACAGATAAGAACAAATCAAGTAAGTACTAGTCTGCTGATCTACAGCAGAGCTCATGTTAAAATGCATGTCAAAATCATTATGGAACATAGCTAAAGCCATATGAAACCTTACTAATGATGCTTAGAAAGAAATAACAGCCTCTCAACAAAGGTAACTGCACCTTAAATTAAATATATTCTGCCAAAGGCTGGGCACAGAACCAAGAATGGGAAAAGGGGTAAGTAGCCACAGTTGCATTTCCCTGATCACCAAAGCGAGTGATTGTGTTCAGCCTTGGAGTAATTTAGAGCAACCTCTCATTCAGCCCCAGGTAACGGGTCCAACAATGCTCTGGCTACACCTTCTTTTTTGGAGACAAGACTTTTATAAGCATGCAGGTGGAGGATGGCTGTAGGAAGCGGGGTGGACCTGTTCCTGAGCTGGTTGTGCAGTTCTGTCCTTTGGGCAGCAATAAAACCCTTTGTGTTGCTAAAATGGTTCACAGGGACTGGCTGTTGGAGGGTATCTGGACTACAGAAGCTATACTGATCATTCCTGGGTCTCCAATTTGCTGCTTCCCATCTTTGTTGGGGGAATATTTCCATTTCTAAGCTCTGCACTCAAGGCTTCCCCAACTTTCCCCAGCTGTGATGTGGAATCATTTCTCCCTTGTTCATCTCTGGACCTCATGATTTTGAAGTTGTGCATGGAAATCTGTCTCATGAGTCTCCATCTACACGGCATTACTTATTTGTCATTTACTTATCTAAATCAAGGCTGCCTGAAGGAACGTGTCTGAAACCAGATCTTCAGTCACAAGAGAAGGACTTTGCCACTGTCAAGAATGGACTGACATGTGGACTGAGCAACCTCCCGGATTATTGCAATAAGAACCAGCTTCATACCAACCCAACCAAGACACAGGTCACAGCCTTTCACCTACATCATAGAAAAGCCACACGGAAATTAAACATCACTTGGGATGGACTCCCACTGGCTAATCATCTCAAACGCTGAGTATTTGGGGGGGGGGTACATTGCACTGAACACTTACCTTCAAAGCACATGTAGAGAAGATGAAAGGGAAAGTCAACACCCGAGACAACACGCTTCAAAAGTTGGCCACTTCAAAGTGGGGAGCATTTTGTGATGCTCAGTTGCACCCTTGGACACGACAGCTGACAGGGCACCACTGAGATGATAGAAGGAAAGACTATGTACAATCAGATGCCCTGAGATGGACCTGGAACCCCAAGAGGACCTTCTCAGAGCGGCTGATACAGACTGGTCAATATGGCGATGCCTGAACTGCCTGCACACACAAACTGGAAGTTCAAAGACAAACATGATCAAATGGGCTCCTCTAATGACACAAACACATGCAAGTGTAGTGAAGTACAGACAATGGAGCACTCGCTCCTTTGCTGACCCCTGGGTGAGACCTGCAAGAAGGCGGACCTTGCTGCAGCAGTGCAAAGAACTGTCACTTGGACATGATTCTGGAAAAAAATCTAGTTTACGACAAGGACATGAGAAGAAGTTGTGATTTGCACACCCAGATTTGCATGTGCAGTCTGTTGCATCCACATAGTGGAACACACATATTTTGTCCAGTTGTTCATGCATTATCATCATCATCACATCCATTAAGAATATTCCAACTTGAATCCATCTCTATTAATTAGTATTCACAAAGTGCTTTGAAGAGAGAAAAAAACTTGCTGTGCTATGAATACTGAGTACTATCACGGGCAGCAGAATCTGCAAAGCCTCTAGTCTGCACACAATCAATCCTCCCACCTATTTCAGTGGACTTGGGCTGAGGCGGCTTTGTTTGGTGACTAATTTTGTACACAGCATAATTCTGTATTGCACATGCATAATTAGAGGCCGGGTTGAGGCCCTTTGCACATACCGTGCTGGTTATATATTTAGATGTGTTTATTAATTTATTTTACCATTCCAGTTTCCTTTCTTTTAATCTCTATTTATAATCTGCTGCAAACAGTGGCCAGGAGCTGTCCTTGATCCATCTCACCAAGCTGCATGCAAGGGTCTTCCTATGGATTTTTATAAACTAAAGGCCAACCCTGCAAATGCTTCTGTCAAGCAGCTTATACAGCTCTGGGGGGCTGCAAATAATCAGCTTATTTGCTCTACTGAAGTCACACACTCAGTCATAATTGCTGCAGGATCAGGCCCCAATGGCACACTCCCCACATTGGGTGTTGCTGTGTCTTACTTCTCTATTAATGAGTTGCCTGGATTAAATGTATCTGAAGTGAGTACACAAGCAATAACTAAGCAAGAAAAGCCTCCAGCTTTTGGCATCAGAAAATCCTATATTGCTTCAAGTTACACATTAGATGTTTTTAAGCCACAACACACCTTGAAATATAATTAGCAATGAATCTACTAATTTTTTATGTGGATGCTCATTTGAGCTGCATTAATCATTTAAAAAAAAAAAAAGCCAGTAAGTACTTGATTTTGCAGGCATGTGCCAAAAAAGATGAGTTTTCTCATTTTTCCTCCTGACTTGTTTTGACAGGCACAACATTTGTAAAAGCTGCAACTGCAGTAACAAAAACAAAAAATCACCAGTGAAAAAAAAAACCCTAAACAAAAAATGTTCCCCCCTCCAAATGACTTTTCTGGAATGCTGGAAAGTTTTAAAGTTAGAAACCACTGAATTTCCACAGAAGGTTGAAGCTATTAGCAAACACATGAAAGACAGCAAGCAGAGTATTGTGAAAAAAAAGATATTTGGACAGTTATTTCAGTAACACTTTATTTAAAATGTCTGGTTGCTGGCACTTAAACAGTGCGCGTGACCTGGGTTAGTGAATGGTTATTGCCAAACAACAGATCCCCGAAAGAACCTTTGCCATGAAGCTAGCAAAGTGCAGGGAAGAACTCATTCAAGTAAAAGTGTTACATACATTTTTCTGGGTTTTTAAAAATGTCATTAAGATACAAGTTCCGCCTATGCCAAACAGCTCCTGGGACTGGCATGGTTAAAGCACTTCACTTTGTATAGCTAATATCACACAAGGGAGCAATGTGACAAGTATCACATCCTGCTGCCTTTGACTCCCCAACCTGAACCATCAGGTATTCGCTGAGCTCACTGGGAGCAGCCTTTAGCGTAGGTCCAGAGCGGGGCTTGACCTAGGACAGCTGCAGCAGACATCCAAAGTGCACCCCCAGCAGTAAGATACCAGGAAGAGAAATCAGGGGAGAATATTAACATGTCTGGAGTTTTATGGTTTTAGAAAGACATACCCCTGACAGGCAAGAAGTTAATGTGGCTCGGTGTTCGAACACAACCCTCCTTCCACACCGAGCACCGAGAACAGAGCCACACTATCTACAACTGCTACTGTTAAGCCTCAAGCAAAACTTTCCAGACCACTGTGGACAGAGCCTATATCTGAGAACTATCCTAGGTCAAATCTGAGTGGATGAAACCACCAGGCAGAGGGTAGCAACATTTTATCAGGAGTTTCTCACTTATCACTTTGGCAACTGCTCTCCTCCAATGCTCCAAACTCCATCTCCATCGCATGGAGAATCTGTGCAAGGGTCAGACCTGGACAGACTACTCTCTGTGATCGGTATGAGAGATGAGTTCACCTCCGTTCTTTATCTGTCCTAAAAGAGATTTGGTTTTTAATACTCACCCCACTTACACAGCCCTAACTAAAACCCTGGTGACAACAGTGCATGTTTAAATATGGCTGCTGCCAACCTGGATCAGATACTACTTTGGATAACTCCTTCATTGCCGGTAGATCCAGGAATCATCTTGCAGTTTGTAAGTGCCCAGCTTCTGTCCACGGGTTATCCTTGGTCATGGCAGGGCCGAGTTATTTGGTCTGACAACCCTGTTACCAGCAGAAAATGGATATATTCCCAAGTTTGGGCTGCAGTCAGCTGTATGCAAAACCAGAGAGTATTGTAAAGCAAGCAGAAAATGTGTCCTTTGCATTATCTGTGAGTTTGTGAATGGATAAGTCCATTTGTTGCTGCTGTAGTTGCATATCATTATTGCTTAATGAATTAGCTCTTCCCAAATAATTCATTCTGAACTGTACATCTGGGCGATTCATCTTTAGGAGAATGTTGTTGCCTTCTTGGTACTTTTTCCTATTAATGGATTCCAGCAGATTCCAGGTTTCATTGATGCAAAACCCTCAAAACAGTCGCAAAAAGTTTAGAATGACATGGACCCTTTTCATTTCTTTCCAAAAGTGCAAAGGGAAATAAAGAGCTTCCCACAAACCAGTGCTCAGTCATACATATTAATCCAGGTGCTGCTGACTCCAACGTGCTTCATTATAGAGCTACAGCTAGCTTCCCATGTTGTTGTTATAAAGACGGGGACAAATCCAGCGAGGTACAGGGATGTGATTCAGAAACGTCAAAAATGTCACCTGCACTGGCAGACCACTGGACTAGTGCAGTCAAGACACACTGATTTCTTCAGTCAAGGGCACACAAGGTGTTGTGGTTAGCATCACAACTAGTCTCTTTTGCACCGCCAGCCCAACTGACCAGGTCCTATATACCACAGGGCCAACGGAGGGGATCAAGGTTTTGACTCGTGTGTCTACAACCAGAGCAAGAAACCTTAACTGCTTTACCGCCGACCCTCACCTGGCCAGGAATAGGCCAATGAAACAGAGTATACAGGCAGTCCTCAGCTTACAACATTTCGAGTTACAACGTTTCGCACTTACAGCATTTATAAATCGACACCCTGTTTCAACTTTATGACGGCAGTTTCAACTTTACAACGCTTGATCCAACACAATGACACGCCAGCAAACAGGTTTGCTACATCGCCCATCTCCCTGGAGAACATCTGTCCAAACTTCCTTGGACACTTTCTTTAAGAAAGCAGATAAGCCTCCAGAAAAACCTGCAGCCAAGACTCCTGAGAAGACTCCAGCCAAGAACCCTTCAAAAAGTCCATCAAAGTCACCTCAAAGAAGTCCTTTCAAATCAATATGATTGCTATTTACAATATAAATACATTAATGTAGCTATATTACTCATCTATAATTGATTGAGTACAAAATTCTGGGGTATTTTTGGTGAAAATAGGGTATTGGGCCTTGGTTCAGGAACCCATCCCCCCGTTTATAACATTGTTTCCTATGGGAAAATCAGTTCCAAGTTACGACGTTTCAACTTAAGACGCGATTTTCAGGAACCAATTGTGTCGTAAGTCTGAGGACTGCCTGTATTCCAATCCTCTGGGCCAAACTGATTTGAGCCGTCTCCGTGTTAATTTGGAGCAAGTTCACTGAAGTCAGTGGATGCCTCCTGCCTTAGTCCTGTGTGCCTGAGCCTCCAGTGACAAAACCAGTTTGTGTTATACGCTGCTTTCCTAAAGACCACATTAGCCATGGACCCACGAGCACACAAGAGCTTTCTGTTAGAGCTTCCTGCTCTTTGTTTAAGAAAATACATTAACTAGAGGAAGAGAGTTCTCACTACAACCCTGATTACCATTTCCTTTAATTCCATCAAAATGACTTCTCCCTAACCCACTCTCCCAGCCAGGCGAGCGACTCAGCCTGTGGAGTGTATGAACTCCCTTCATCTTTTCTGCAGTTAATGTTTTGCAGATTTCGGCAAGCCTTCTGGCTTGTGTGTGGAAAAGTACAGTTTGAGCAGTGACAAATAGAAAGCACATGCTTATTAAAGCTACATTACACAACCCGAGCTGCTTTAATGTCATCTGCTCCTAAAACAACAAACCTGTGGGGACTTGTGCCTATGTGTGTGTGTCTTGGAAAGGGAAGGCAGGTTTGAGGTTATGATGACTCATGAGAGCAGGCTAGTGTATGGATCTGGGTCCTTGCGGGATATGCCAGGACTAGAATTAATTCAGAGTCACCATGGAGAGTTGAGTGGCCATCTGATTAATAGATAAACGTGTGTAGGTTATTCAAAGCACTAGTTGGTTGGGCGCCAGACAGCATCTGGCTTCCATAATGTTGCCTAAGCCCCATTCACCTGTAACAATGCCATTGCCATAAACACTATGAAAGCAACATGGGCTACAGTGGCAAACTGGTAGCTGTTGCACTCTTGAGTTACTTGGCGGGGCTACCTGTAAATACTCTTATATCCTAAGCAGATTTGGACGAGGAGCTCAATTTTCTTACTGAGGTTCATCCTTACAAGGAGAGAGATCATTTCGGCCAACACGAGTGAGTCCTGGTGGGATCTGTGAATGCACCCTTCCCCTCTGGTGGAAATACTGTCTGCTTCCATTGCTGTTGCTTTGGCAGGCTATTAGATCAGGGGTGGCTCTCTGAAAACAGGAAACTTCTGCAGATCTGGGCGCCTTGCCCCTCCATCTCCATCCTGGCGAGGATTTGTCTGGTGTCTAGTGGTCCTTGAATGCTTTCAGCTGTCTCTCTCTGTTTGACTTACAGTCTGAGGCAGGCGTCACAAGCCAAACTTCTAATCTTTTTGATTTCAGTCGCTGGAGCTCAGCGGCATACGGTACATCATTGGTATGCAGCAGTAGTAGCATTTGACTTAGACAAATGGTCCCTATGTGAACTCAAAGGCTGTGTCTTATTTAATTTTGTCATTTTCAATTAAACTTTGCCTGTCCTTCCCTGACTGCTTGGAGTCCTGTTTAGTACTAATATTTAATATTTACTCACTTCAAAGTGATTTCCTTATTTCTGCTGCAGATTTCAGACATTCATTCGGAGATAAAAACGCTGCTTGATTTTAGTTTCTCCCCTTCTTTTTTCTCTAAAATTCGTGGTCGGTGGAATGCAATGTCGGCAGCAAGATTCAATTAATATTATATCGCTATTTTCAGACACTTGGAACTGGCAAAAAAATAAAACCAACAAAAACCTGTAAAGGCTCCTGAGCACAGTGACATGTAAAACTAATAGAAGAAAAGTGAAATAACATTGGGTATTATCACAACTTTTTCAAAAATGCTTTCTGAAGTAATCTGTATATTTTAAGTTTCCCACAGTGATATACTTTAAGTTTTTAAAACAACACAAACATTTGCCTTGGCTATTGGCCTAGTGTAAAGAATAAAAATTATCAACACAACTAAATGACTTAAAAAGACTAGGTATTCTCCCCAAGGAGAAGCAGAGAATGTAAAAGTAATCTGTGCAGGCGTGATCCCATTCACATGTGGCCAGCAAAAACAAACTGGTTCGGGCAGCTATCTCTTTTAAATGGAGAGGTTCCTTTCTTTACCTGTCCATCATCTCCCTAGGATGCTCACATACCATCTGGCTAGGCTACTTTAGATATAATTAATATTTCTCTGTATCTTGTTGGTGTCTTTTTGGTAATAATGTGATAGTTATTTACTGGTTCTCTGCAGGAATAAATTAAAAAAAAAAACCCTAGAGGCTTTGGAGACCACAGATCTGCTGGCAGATGCTAGTGGGCAGGTTATCTGCACCTCAAGGAGGTTCATGGCCAGGGGCCTATCACCTTAGCGGCCTTGTGTTAACTTAAGGCATTAGAATATGTTCTCCTTTTTGTTTCTTATTATTAAGCCTCACTGTGAAAATGAGCAATAAAGTTCAAAACTCTCTCACTGTGACTTCCTTGGTAGCTTCCTACTGGCGCCCGGAAGCAGTTCTGAAAGCTTCCGTAATCAGAGAATGACTCATGCACAGTGTGTGTCAATGAATGTGCTGGAAAATAAAATACAAGGTTGCTATAAAATGGACTTGCTAGATAATAAATAAGGTTTCAAATCTGCAGCAGACTCGCATTCCAGTCCTACTGTCTTTCTGCTTCCTTCCTGTCCTCCAGGACCCATTTTACTACTGGGAAGACCAGAGCAAACTCAACCAGCTGGGCGCCTAATGGACCTCCACTGCTCACTGCTACCCGGTTTGGACTCTTCTTGATGCATCTTTCTCTGCCAGCCAGTATTTTCAGCAGAGGAGGAAGGGTGAAAAGAATTGAACTCGTGATTGTTGTCATCCACCTGTTGCCTCTTTTCTTATCTGTAGATTGTAAGTTTGTTGGGGGAAATGGACTGCATTTTTGTGCTGCATTTGTACAACTCCAGGTGTGGTGGAGCCTGGTATATGCCAACACCTTGTAAGTGCTACTACAGTACAAATATGTGAAAAATTAAAACAGTTACAATGCCCTATTGTAATTCACCAGAAGCAGGAAAAAATATCTGAGATCCACACCTGCCTTTTTACTTGCTCAAACTCATTCTGTTTGGACAAGTGTCTTTCACCGTAACCTTCACAGATCGCTACCCTGAGCAGAAAGGGAAATTCGTTCAAGTTAATGGATTCCAAAAATGTCCAATGCAGGTATGATCATTCTGGAGGGGAAGGAGGAATTTTCTCAACCTAATCCAGTTGGCTGTTCATTAGACTTCAACTTTAACTGGACATATGGGCTTGGGGGCCACTGTGGGCACAACCCTTTGATATCGGAGCTGAATTGGGTTTGGCTGACTGCAGGCCCTGAGCATGTATCTTCACTTTCACACTATATTTTTCATTTTCTGCCATTTCAGAAATGTTCTATGGAACTGGGTTGAAACCAACAGGGCTTAATGGAATTTTAATAGGATACTTTAGAAATTACTTTCTAAACTTACATAATTTGATAGAGCATTATATCTCTTCTGTAACTATCCTACAGTTCTTTAGAGGGGATATATTTAAAATGTATTTAAATGTCATAGAATGGCTCACAAAACCACTAAATGGTCTAAATTTGATAGGACTTTGGCATAGTGGTGTCCTGAACTATCACATAAGTGCCAATGTACATTTTCAGGTATGGCTTTATCAAGGTCTTATGTAGAGTTTAGATTATGGTTTGCATAGGATGGCTTTAGTCCCACTAAAGGCATACATCTAGTGTTAAGAACATGAATAGTCCCACTAAAAGCATACATTTATGCCTAAAAATAGACACATGCTTAAAAATCTTACTAAACTGAGGTCTGGTGATTTTTTTCCTCTAGAGACAGCTGCATTTCAGTAAGGTGAAGTCAGCCCAGTTCACGTAGAACCACATTTTGCCCTCTGGGATCAGTGTGAAATTGCCAGTGGCTTTAAAGGGAGTTTTCTGAGCACCTCTGAAGGCAGAATTCAGCCTGTTGATGTGTGGATGAAAGGTGCTGTATAAATGTCAGCCTTTATTATTGTTACAAATTTCCGGCTTCTGTTATTAAGACATTTTTATGTGGATCTTTGTACGTCTCGAAGTCTGCGAGTTTGGACTAAATGCTTGTCACAAGTTTTACTGGCATCCTGTGGTGGGGGGATTGCTTTAACTTTGTGCTCTTCTAACCTTTCCTTCTGTTCAGGGAATAAACCTCTTAAAAAAAAAATCCCACAACCTCATAAAAATGGAGTAAACTCTGGGCTCTTTGTTTTTCTCAGGCCTAACCTCCAGGAAGGCTATAAATTCATTTATTCTGTAAAACTCAAAGAGGTAAATCTTCAGCATAATGTGTGGGGAATTAGCCACTTAACTCCCATTAACGTTAATGGGAACTGAATATTTATTTACCCCACAGCATATAAATCTTAGCCTTGTAACTTGTATGGTTTCTTACTAACATGTTTCCATTGTTCTATAGATCCTACTTATCCACCTAGAATGCATAGGCAACTGGTAGGGGGTGCACAGGGGTGCACGTGCCCCCCCGATGGGGTTGGTGGCCCCCCAACAGATGACACCGATGCTGTTTGTAGTGCTGGTGCCCCCTCTGACAGGGCTGCCACCATCGGCGGCTTCTGCGGGTGCCCCCCAGATTCAGGAGGCACCAGTCACTCATGCTAGAATGCTTACCAGGTTGTCAGCTCAAAAGTAATATACTGGACACTTCTATTCCTTCCCTTTATGTAAGCCATAAAATCCATCTGGGTTGTGTAATGTGAACTCTACATCAGATAAACTCAAACTGCCTCTGCTTGGTGTGGGCGCTAGCATTTGCTCAATTCCAGAGTTGTCCAACGTGGAGAGGCTTTTGTGTTGGGGTGAGGACATGGATGGTTGGGTCTACGGCCACTTGGGAATCAAGGTGCCGACCAGGGTCAGGATGGGCGAGCAGAATCTAGGGACAAACCAGGTCAGGAAGCCAGAAGGTCAGTCTGAGAGGAGGGTCTAAAAGTGAGATCAAGCAGAGAGCCAAGTCAAGGAATAAGCCAGAGGGGACAAAAAAACAGTCTTGAGTTGAGTTCAATTAAGTCAAACCCCATTGCCCAGACACTTCCTGTTCCTACTCAGGGCTTTATAGGGGGGAATTGAAGGGTCAGTTGACCCCCACTAATCACTTGGGTGACAGGTGGAGGGTTAGGCCTTGTTGAAGGATTCAGGCCGCCCTGGATCAGCCTGGGTAATCAGTCATAAAGTGGCAGATCAAGATAAGTGGCTGTGTTGGTGAGACTGAGGTCCCAGGTTTTGAGGCTGCAGCCTGACACTTTGGGGCTGTAATAAGCTGTGGGAACTGTTAGAGATCATAAGCATGATCATCAGGGATCAAGAATAGTAGTGAGACTGAATGGGAGCTGAGGGCACCTGGAAGCTTGCAGGAGGTGCACAGTTACTGGAAGGATTTGTGGTTTTAAATACCTCTGTCTTGGACAGACACAAGAAGCCAATTCACAGCATGAATTAAACTCACAGGTCCAACGCCCTTTGTATTTGTCTTCTTCCCCCAACCCAAACCAAAAGCAAGCAAATCAGCCAATCACCCTAACACTAGACTACACCTCAAACAATGAAGAACCAGAGACTCTGGAGCCTTCTGGAGACTTCATCATTATTGTTTGATTTCACTTGAAAGACATTAAGATGCTATGGTGCTGGACAGCCTTATAAAACCCTACTAAAGAGAGGTAGAAGATTAAATTGTCCTTTCAATAAGTGAACTCCTGGCTCCTTTCTGGGGCCTGAAGCAGCTGGCTGCGGGCTCCTTCCCCCGGTCCAGAGGGAGCTCAGGTTTGGAAGCAACACAGCGCTACTGAAGCCGGACCTGGGGCTTCTCTTCCTTTTCCTTTGTAGCCCCAGGCTCAACGCGTCATCCCGCCTTCACTCCCTCACACTTATCCATAAAGGGGATGGTATGAAATAAGAAAATCTTCTTCTTATTATTAATATTATTATATTTTTGTCCCTGCTTTTCTAAAAAAGCCCCCCAAAATCTAGGTTATGGGCAGAAATTACTCAGGGAGCTGGGGTCCTGGGAACAAAATCACTTGGGCAATAGCTGAATGATTGTGTTTGAGAACCTGATTCAAATCAGCTGTGAAACTGATAGAAAGAAAAAGAGCTACATGGGAAATGAAAACCACTAAGCAGAGGTTTTCTGGGTATATACTTTACTGGAGAAAATTGCCTTCCCGAAATGTCCATCAATCACTGTTTTTGCAAAGAACTTGTGGAAATTAAAGGAATTACAAAAAGGGCCTGATTCCAACCTCACTCTGGCATCAATCAGAAATAACTCCATTGAGGTCAAGGTCCCAGTGGGTCCTTTTTCAATATGGGTTGCACTGTTTTTACCTCGCTGTAGCTCCGTGGATGTCATGAGCTCCTCCTGATTTACACCAGCATTAAGGGGAACCTGAATTCCTTTTGCATTCTGAACTTTTGTCATTTTCTACAGCTCAGGACACACAAGCCTTCTAAGACAAGGCCTTTTATGGCACTCTTCAAACAGCGACATGAGTGAGCTAAGCATCTGAGACCAGCATGCATTCCTTCAAACATTTTTCTAGAGTATTGAAACTATGGCTTTTATCAGCCTTGACCTCATGGCTAACTGCACCTGTCAGGTTCCTACCGAGACTGGAATGAGAGCAGTCTCTGGGCTTGTTACAACAGAGACAGGGATCCATCAGGAAGCCATTATGCACTGCTACACTGCTTGTTGTGAATCCATTTTCTTTCATGAAAAAATGTATTTGTTTTTTGAGGCCCTTGAAGAGAATGCAAATAGCTCGATTGACTTCAGGAGGTATAAATGAGAGCTACATGTGACCTACAGCAATGAAATTGCACAGAATAAAAAGCTGGGGCTATCCTGAAAAGTACAAGATTTCTGTGAAATATTAAACCATGAGCGGGGTGCTGCAGCCCTTGTTGTAAAACAGATTGAAAACATGTGGATCAGAAAGAATAGGCAACCATGCAGCACTTCTTCAATCACATTTACAATGCACTTATTGCATGCTAAATACAGATGGACTCTCACTTGCAAAGAACTCGGAGGTAAAACTTGGCTCTTTCCAAATCAGTTTATCCAGAAAACTTCCACGCGGATATTCTACTTTGTGCTCTATCTAGCTCAACTCTGCCACATTTTGTCCATTTAAAAAGCATTACATCTATTATTATTGCCTTTAGGTACGGTAAATAAATAGGACTGATCTATATCTCATTGGATCTCACATTTACTGAGCACGAACCTTTCTGAATGCTCCACTAAGGCCTTATGCTTTACATCAGGGATGGGCAAAATACAGCCCGGGGGCCAGATGTGGCCCGTCAGGCCATTCTATCTGGCCTGCGGGGCCCCTAAAAATTTTAGAAAATTAATATTAATCTGCCCTGGGCTGCCTGTCATGCGACCCTCAATGGCTTACCGAAACTCAGTAAGTGGCCCTCTACCCAAAATAATTGCCCGCCCCTGCTTTACATGCTTAAGTACACATCAGCTAATGGGATGTGACCACCTCTGGGGTAGGAAGCAGCAGCTGTTTGCAATGTCTCACCCCACTGCTCTAATGTGGGTCAGAAAGCAGCCCACGTTGAAGCTGCAGAGGGAATGTCAAGGTAGCAGATTGCAGCCATCTAACTTTGAATTTGGTGAGGATTTTGTGGGCTAATCTCATCTCTCTTACAAAGGAACTTCCTGGCATCTCAGTGGCAATAGTATGCGGCTGGAACCTTAGTATTGCCTCCCTGACATGATCCTAGGCATTGGTGCTATAATTCAGCAAAGCATACATGGATGTCCAAAATTTTAACTACCTATAAGGACTCCCAGTAGATCAGGGTCTAATTCCATGCTCACTCTTTTGGAGAGAAGTACTGACTCTACTAAACCACCAGAAGAGCTTCCTGTGGCAGTCTCATTTTGCTTTGGAGATCTATTATGTAAGCATTGACTCAGCCTGAACCTGCTTATATGAGCAGATGAAATCATAGGTAATGGTTGCATAGCAATATCATGTTGGCAGTGACTATGCTAAATCTATACTTGTTATGCCTTCAGGCAATGCCAGGGAATCACCGGTGGAAAAAATGTAAGTATCCAGTGAAACCCTGCTTTTGAAGATTACTACTTTTTTTAATAAACCAGTGAAGGGGGTTCCATAACGAGGCAAAATCCCCCTTCTTTATTTACAAAGTTGAAATACAGAATTAATTTTGGAGCTTGTCAGACCCTGAAATCTGTGAGCTCTGTTGGGAAAATGGCCTCTGCAGCTCCTAGCCAAAAGCAAAAACTTGAGAACTTTTGTAAACTTCATTTCAAAGCTGTTGACTGTGCCATATATCCAACAGCATGTACAGGCATCTTCAGGATCCAGCAGACTCCTAAGAATATGCATAGCACTGTGACTAAAAATAAATATAATTACACTTTAAAAGGAAAAAAACATCTTAACGATCATCATACTTGCAGCTATGGAATGCTCTGAAGAAATATGTTTGTACTTAGTTGCAGGTAAAGTATGTTTTCCAGACAGAGAAAATTGCTTGAATGTCATAGGGTAGATTTATTTAATTAAAAATACAAATAGGAAAAATGTAAATCACTTTTCATCATGTTGTTTAGTAATGTATCCTGCTTCTATTGGAACAAGCTGATTGCTGCTTGGTCTGTGCTTATTCTTGGTAACCTATACAAATGTGAAAGCGGATAGCAAGCATGCTCGCTCCATTTCTCTGAGTTACAGAGGTCCATTTGTCCCAAAATACTGATAGCATTGAAGAACAGGCCATGCTATATGAAAACTCCCCATAACTCCCCAAACTAGACAGAGTGCTAGTTACAAATAATCCAAAGAATTTGACTCTGTTTTATGTTTGTGACTCCTCCATTCTTATGATCTCTTAGTTTTCCATGAGCTTTCTCACAATCATTTCCAAAACAAATTTTAGCAGTGGGGGCTGTTCAAAAATGTGTTGAGTTGGACTATTTGATCTTTCAGATGTTATTTTCACTTACGTCACATTGTATCATTTCTGATCTTTGCCTGGCTGAATGAAACGGTTCAAACAGGAGAGTAATGAACAATAAATTGAGACTACCCTGTTTTCTGGCTTGAATGCTTAAATAAATAATCCCAAAGGATCTTGTGGCCAAAAGTTCATGACATAAATGCATCAGCAATCATTTGGCTACCGACC